AAACACTTCTTAATAGAAGATACAAGTAATTATATGTTTGTTAACATAATAGACTACCTATGGATCGCGAAATGACAGCTGTGATTTTAAGTCAAAGTGTCCCAATGATAGCTGTCATCTTAAGTCAAAAAATATGATTATATGACAAATTACAAGCTAATATTTTGAATGTAGCTGTAAAAAGACTGAGAAATAGTAGTTAAATTAAAATAAATTTATAGACTAAAACTTCTTTGTTAACAATCTCATGAACAGAAATCGATACATGTCAAATTACCTGTATCGCAATGATAAATCCACTTTAAGTTCAACGTTCAGATTGGCTAAATTGAAAGTAAAAGCTACAAGCAAGCAAAGAATACGATTATTTTTTACGATTTTTGGGTTGGGTCCCGAAAGCAGGTCGACACCGCCGCCGTTGCCACCGTTGTTTTTTCTTTCCTCCTCCTTCTCCTCCTCCACCTCCTTCTTCCCCGTATGTTTATTTGCGGGGTCGGAGGTGCTTAGCACCCCATAACTCTGCGCTACAAGATACACGTGTTCGTGGGCGAAAAGTCGCGGCCCCCGATTATGTCACGTCCCGTTTGTGATTTTTTCTAAGTGCTTCCGAGAGGAAATGTTCGACAAACCGCTTTTTTAACCTTCGCCACGGGAGGATGCATAAATATCCATTGGGGGCATGTGTTGTACTACGCACCCCCCAAAAAAAAAAAGCTACTTATGCCTAATGATTTCCCAAAACGATTTTTTTCCCTGCCCTTTCGGCAAAGACGCGCGCCCGAAAAGCAGATGCATCCACGCAAAGCGACGTACGAAAATAACGCGATTGCATAAGGAGTTGTTTTTTTTTCTTCGTTTTTTTTTTCGGTATACGTATAAAAATTTTATGCGCGAGAAAGTCGCCGATGATAAACAAGAAGTCCAAATGAAGATTGTTGCTCAGCCTTGTAACAATTTAACCTTTTTTTCTTATAATACACACTCACACGCATTTAGAGTAGAAGAAGGAGAGAGAGAGAGAGAGAGATAAAAAAAGGCAACGAGAATAACACTCTCGATCGGATCTTATAAACAAGTCTCGTTTTTCCCCTTTTTAGGGATGCAGGAATACTGTAAAACCTTGTTTCGAAGCGATTTAATAGCCTCGAAAGAGAAATAAAACGCAAGGGGTTGAGGGAAAATGTGGTCGCTTCGTTTTTTTTTTTTTTTTTTCGAAATTTCCCATATAAACCGGTCCACGCCCCCGAAACTAATAAACCGCATAATGGATGGGCCTAACGAAAACCATGTGTGAAGAAGCCCAGAATTCCTATTTATCTCTATCTGGTTTTTTTGTTGTTGTTGTTGAATCGGGATCGGGGAGCAATCATGGTAAAACTAGGATTTCCCTTTCTCGACTTCCTTATGCAGAAGTGAAACTGACGCAACGCTCGTAGCCCTGACCTGCTTACACTTCTAAGCACACTCTCCAACTCTTGGAAACGAAGAATTCCGATGCTAACCATCCCCGCGTTTAATTGCTTTCCATCCAGGTAATTAGGCTCCACCAGCCTTGGGAGAAGGGGCGAGAGAGAGCAAGCAAGTCGTGCCGCGTGCGAAAAGGGGTAGTGAAATCGTACACTCGTCGCTCTACACGACCCCACCCATCGTTCGAGACTACTAATTGGGCCCCACACTCCCTCAGACAACCCTTCTTTTCCCAATGGAACGATGAAAAAGTACGTGTATCCCTGCTAACGGATGCAATTAAATCCGCTCAGACCGATGTTTGTGCAACATTTTTCATCCGGTTCCAATAACAACCCCGACACTTGTACAGCGTGATTTAATTATTCCAACAGAAACATCACATGTTTTCACGCTCATAAAAAAAAAGAACCTAGACCAATATGTCTCCTATTTCGATACATTCTAAATAAAAATTTTACAAAAAAATCTGTCTATCATTCACTGCTACAACCCAATATCAAAACCAAGCCTTTCCAATAATGCAACGTATTGAAATAACTATGTTTTCTTTGGCTTATAAGGTAGTGAATAGATTGCCCATTCATCAGATTACATATAAAGCAAGATTTACTAAACGTCAATTAATACTAATAAATATACAACAAAGTTGTAGTAAAACTGAATTATATTTCTTATAAATCATTTATACTTGATCTATTAATTGGAATTGAAATATTATTTCCAATATTTTAAAGGTTTTATGATTTTTCTTTTTAATTAAATGTTAATTTGTGTCTATCAAAACACATATCATTTAGATTATACAAACAAAACTATTTCGATGAAATAAAAACTCGTAATCGAGTTAAACTTGAAAATTATTTCAAGAATTTGAAATATAAAAGAGGATTTAGAATTACAAAAGAAGTCGAATGAACGAATAGAACAAAATAAAAACCCAACCTTAAATTGATACTCAACATCTTAATTGTACAATATAATTATATAAATTAAGGTTTTAATAAAATTTTCAATAAATAAATGGAAAAGTATGTAAATAATAAAAACAACAATGTTTGGGTATTAAACGTTAAATGTCAGCTGATTATCATAAGTAAACCCATCACGAGTTGAAGAATTTACTTTCATTTGCTATTAAATAATTTAAAACAATTGTAAAGGAATGTAAGATCATATGATCATTACTATATTTTTTTGTTATATTCAAACTGAAATATTTGAAAGATTCATTTTATAATTGCATTACAAATCAATTATATGAAAACTGTATTATATAAAAATAGGAAATAGTTTTAGCATTTAGTAAAAACATTGTGAAGATTATTTAATTGTAAATTATCTAATGGTAAACGGTTTGTGTACTTTACAAATTTAAAAAGAAGAGTGTTGAGTACTTGTGTGCTAGGCAACACAACGTGCTGTTAATAATCAAAGTATAAATACTAACACGAACTGCCATCTATCGACAAGAAGCTGTTCCAGAAGTACGCCATTTTATTCCAATTTGAATGATTATATTGATTTGGATATTTTGCGGAAACGGAAATGTTCATTCAGTTTCATATACGTGAATGAGGATCAAAGAAACTGTTTTTATCAAATAAAAAGAAACAAAACTTATTTGATATGCGAATTATGTAAGTTTTTGTTACCTTTAGAAGAACGACGCACAAAGAACTTCTTTGGAAACCATCTCGCTATTATGAGTAAGCTTCAAACAGAAACCGAAAAAGAAACATTTCGAACACTTTTATGAAAATAATAGTAAATGACAGTTCTAATAAAATAAGAACTGTCATTTACTAAGTGGTGCCAATTGTTCAATTACCAGCTTGAGGAATTTTACTACTTTTTGTTACTTGAATAACAATTGTTGTAATTGTATTTACTTTTTGTGATATGTAGTAATAAATTCTGTAGAATATGTAACAATATTAGGTATACAAATATGTCTATTTGAAGATGTTACCAACATTTTGACTGGTATAAGAGTCAACAAAGATGTATCAATATATAAAGAGGAAGAATATAAGAAGAATATATAAAAAGTAAAGATTGTTTTATGAAAAATCGTTACATCTCTGTCATTAATTCATACTACACAACAATAGTTCCATCAGAAAATGCATAATACCAAAGTATATACATAATTGTTAACACATATACAAAACTTATTTTTGGTTTTATAGGCAATACACATATCGTTAGAGCATTGAAAAATAAATATTACGAAATGAAGTTATTATGTGATATGATTGAACCATCGGTCAGTAAAATATTGATAAATGATGTTGAATGTATATTGTAATAAGTAGAAAAACAGCTACAATTAGCTTTGTTTACAATAAATGTTGCGTAATGTGTGTTGTAGGCAACTCTACATACATCGGACAATTGTATGACACGTACCTTTTTCAATTTTTGGAGTGAGCGGTGCCATCTGTGGTCGCGTCTGCGTCACGCTATTCGTGGTCGACAGAGCGCTATTCTGTGATGTGGGGGCGGCTAACTTTTCAGCGAGAAGCGGATTTGCGGCGGCTATTGTGAACTTGATAGCCGTCGACCTCATCTCCAGCATCACCTGCGTGTTGTTCTTCTGCTGTATACTGGAACTGCTGACAGTGTGATCCATGTTAGGGATGTTATTGTTGTTTTCCTCTTGCTGAAACATTACATTTTTTTTGTAATGAAATCTGATGAAAACTTTTATAAAATGTTCAAAAAAATACTTTAATTTCATGACTGTTAAATTCGTTAAGTAGATTGTCTAATTCGAAGGACGGATCCGTTAGATGCTTGAAGATGTCTTCGGTGTCTGGCATGTGGCCTCCTTGTTCTTCCTGGATGGCAGGCACCAAACTGCTCAGATCCGATTGGGACAGTTCACCGAGTGAACCGCCGCCTCCACCGGTAGCCGTCGTCTGCTGTCCGATCGCTACGGAAGCTGCGTCCTAGGTGAAAGAAACAAAACAGTCAAATGCTAATTAATTTCGTCCAATCACGGCAACGGCTCGTAATGGGTTTTTGTTCTGTAATAGCCGTCCTCCGCTGTTGCGGTCGGTCACGTTTCGTGTGTTCGTTTAATGTGTGGCATGCATGGAGGAATGAGGAGGAAGAGTATGTGTGTGTTCCGTACTTGCAAACATGAAGAGAGATCGACCATCTTGCCGTCATTATCCGGACACCAGAGGAGATCGTTGTCGATGAAGGGCATCGCCAGCGACATGGGCGATGTCGCCCCCAGGACGTGGGTCCCCGCCACCTTGTGGCTGAGGGTCTTCTCCGGGGTACAAAAATGAAGAGAGAGAGAGAGAGTGACGCGATGAACCTGAAGGCTCGCGAACCTTTCACTATCTACCAATACTAAAACTACTAGTTCGGTGCAAACGAGAGGACTTCTTCAGCAGTGACCTGAAAACGATAAGCAATTCCATCAGAAGAACATCTACCATTAGTGTATTATGAGTGTATGCAACGAACGGGCAGAACGCGAGGCCTTTCTACCATCGCATGTTGATGCCATGAGCTAATTGAGTTTCAGATTACGGCTTAATTAAATCCAACCCATAATTGCCCGCTGCTCTAAACAACCTCTGTATCTAATCAGTAGATGGCATACGGCCGGCAAGGCGTTCTCTCCACCTAGCTTTTGCAGCCAGCAGCAGCCTTAGGTCATCGACAAAATTGCTACAAACTATCCGAAGAGACGAGACTTTAATAACTATTTTCCAATTATTTAGAGAAAGGCGTAAGAAACGAGAGGAATATGCTCACTAATTGAAGGCATACTCGAAAATACACCCACTTCCTTACTACTTAAATATTTCCATTGAACAATTTTCATTTATTATTTCTTAAAACTCATTTCATCAGAACTTATTAAGCTAAACATTTTGTAACTAACAATTTAATAGCAATCTTAGATTATATATTTAATTGAAGTACAATCTAAATTACAGATTAATTTTATAATCTATTTCATATATACATCAATTTAAATCCAATCCAAAATGAATTAGTTGCATTTCTCAAACAATTCATTTCTATGTTTTTAATAATATATTCGACCTCCAAAACTACGATTAATCATCATGGGCGAATGGCATACATATCAGATTACCATCGAGCAATTGTACCATGATTATGCAAAATTATAGTTTTCGGCGGATTTGCACAATGGAATTATCCAACATCATAATTTTCAATTAAGATCTAATCTCACTCATAGAAGTAAAATGTTCCAATTAAAAAAAACGCAATTTACTAAGCAAACGGCAGATGGATTCGTAGACTCGGTTGAAATTGCAAATTATTACGTCATTTATAAAAAAAACTTATATGTAATTGGTTGGATTTAACCAATCTTAGAATAATTGAATAAAATTGAACATAATTTTTCAAAATATTAGTTGGGTTTTTACATTTGATGTCAGATGTCATCATTAGATTTGTGGTTATTGGAAACTTAACCTTAACTGGTAGAATTATGTCAATGACAGATGTCAATACCTAACCTTAATTGGTAGATTTCTATAATTGACAGATGTAGTGTCAATAAATAATGGTAACTGTCATTGAGAATCTTACCTTATTTGGTAGATTTTTGTAATTGACAACTGTAATGTCAATAGAGTTATGCAATTGTTAATTGTCATTGGGAACCTAACCTTAATTGATAGATTTATGTAATTGACAGATAGAGAATCAATTGTTAACTGTCATTGATAACCTAACTCTAATTGGTAGATTTACGTAATTCACAAACGTAAGGTAAATACAAATTTTGGATATATGGTGTGGATGCACCTATACAATGTTGGTAGATTTTTGTAATTGACAACTGTAATATCAATAGAGTCTATGAAATAGTTAATTATCATTGGAAACCTAACCTTAATTGATAGATTTATGTAATTGACAGATAGAGAATCAATACATTCGTTAACTGTCATTGATAACCTAACTATAATTGGTAGATTTACGTAATTCACAAACGTAATGTAAATACAAATTTTGGATATATGGTGTGGACGCACCTATACAATGTTGGTAGAATTTTGTAATTGACAACTGTAATATCAATAGTCTATGAAATTGTTAATTATTATTGGAAACCTAACCTTAATTGGTAGATTTATGTAATTGACAGAAAGAGAATCAATACATTTGTTAACTGTCATTGAGAACCTAACTCTATTTGGTAGATTTACATAATTCACAAACTTAAATTTTGGATATATGTTTCAGCGTAATTAAATATACAATTTATTAAAGTTATTATTAATTATAAAAGATTTATATAATTAAAATCAATAAAATACGTTTTTAGCTATTATTTGTAAAAAGAAAATGTCATAGATTTGATGTTGTTTATAATTTATCTGAAATGCATTTGCATGGAAACTGTTAGAAGATCGATGGTACACTTTATTTACCTCGATATTTCTCTGTGGATGTCGAACTTTATCCAACACATGAACGCTGCCGTTTTTCAGGTGGCTGCAACAGAAAGAAAACAGTGATTGGTGAGAAATCCGTGCTGGAGGAGGAGCAGGAAAACCGGAAGCGGAAGCGACGTCCACCACCGGCCAATTACCGTCCGCTCTTACGCAACACACGCAAGAGAGGGTGAAAGTGCGCGTGCGTCGCACTTTCTCGTCACAACCACCGCGCGAAATCACCACTTTCTATTTCCCATGGAGGGATATTATCCGATTATCGTGCGTAATATAATAATAATAAAAATACAAAACATTGGATCCAGATTCGCAGGACCTTTGGATGATGATAGGTCTCTTTTGCTAGAGAGTGTCTTCTTTCAAGCAAAGATTTATCCAGATGGACTTTCACTCTGAAGAGAGGAGCGCGCGACCTCCTGCTGCAGTTGTTCACTTTTAAAGGAAAGTGAAAGCGATGCATTATCATTAATATAAGTGCAGGCAGTGAGAGAAAGATCTGCAGCGGCAGCGAAAGGGAGAAGGACAATTTGCATAATTCAATTCGCGCTAATTAGCAATGTTTTTACGCTAATTACCGATCGATAAGTTATTTCCTTCTATCTGGCGCGGCCCACTGGATCGTAAAACCAGGCCTCGTCGCTCGCTCAAATCACTGCTGTCTATATATCTCTTCTTTTTATATTTTTACCTCATACGCGCAATTTTTATTTTGATCTATGTAACATTTTTAGAACATGTCTACTACACGTCGTTATATATACACACACATGTAGCTTTCACGCATCCTAAACCTTTGTCGTTAAACCGCTCGGAACTAATAATATTGATAGTAATTGAGTTTAAAAAAAGGATATTTCAAATTCGCAGAGGACGCTACGCGAGATTCGCAATGTAAACGGTAGATGGCGTGCGCTGTCAGAGTGGCTTCGAAGATGGCGGACGAAGCACGTGGTGACGAGCCGGCCGGCACCGAATACGATGAACGTTTGGATTTCTTCAGCCCCAACTTTGACCCTCTTCTGGCGTTGGAAACTACCAACGTCCAACCGCCGGTACCGGTGGCCAAAGTTCATGACAACATCCAGATGTACCATTGCGCCCAGAACAAGAAACCCTCATCCGGTAAGACGTCCACCGTTGTCAAGCCTGGTAGCTCGAAGACTCAACAGGTGGCGCCGCTGTTCGAGAGAAAATTCCTGCCGCACCAACGTAAGTATAATACAAAAATAAAAAAAGTTTCCTTCTTTCACCAACTATTTCGTAACTCATCCAACATTTTTAATTAAATTATAGCGCTTTCGTTAATAATCAAAATAAATTAACAACTGCAGTTGCATCAATTTGTACGAACTTAAATAAGTGTGGACGCACCTATACAATGTTTCAAATTAATATTATATATATGATATAATGATATTCTGCGCAATGATTCAGGAGCAATTGTATTAATATAAAAAGAACAAACAAATATGACTGAATTAATGAGCTAAAATGAAATTACAATAAACCGAAGGAGAGATCTTCGCATGAATTATTTATCGTGAACGATTGCTGCGTAACCTTCGGTTTAAGGTTGACGGAAGGTTCGAAATACCGGACCTACTGGTACCTACTTTACGTAATTCCATGTATTATTATCATCATCAGGTGTTTCAGCATGTTAATAATAATAATAGAATTGATAAAGTTATGAAGATGATTGTTTGTTTGTTTGTTGTTGAAAGTCTTTTCGCTGTTGAAAGTTCCCCTTTCGTTTTCCTTTGATTCGTGTAAAATCAATTTAAATGCAGGAAGACAATGGAATGGAATGCATAATAACAACAAAATGTCTTAATTGCATGCCTACCAAGTCCATTGTTGTTGCATACGAGAAGAGCTTATGCAACGCGCGCTATTACTTTTAATTAAACTGTAATACAATCTTACATATCTCTCTTTCTCTTTGTCTGTATTTATGTACGAGCGATTTATTAATTACAAGAAAAAGGGAACAACAACAATAACAACTTTTCATTCACATTCGCTGAGAAACGTTGGATTGAGTAGAGATTATATCATAATTCGACGGCTTTCAGAAATGTCATTAACGATTAAACGTTAGATCAATAATTTGTAATGAAACGTGAAGAAAATGTTAATCATTTTTTGTTAGGAAAGTATTGTTTCTTCTGCGGCTTAATTTCCTGACAGTTCTACGCTTTGACACAGAGTGTGACAGCTGTCATTTTGCTGTTCAACTGTCGTAATTTATTCATGCAATACATATGCATATCAATGCTTAGAATACAATACGTATTTGAAACATAGTTTTGATAGATCACAGTACTAAATTCGATTACGAATGATGATATAACAATAAGTTATTGAATGCAAATGCTATAATATAATATCACAACGTTTTTGTGTTATTGTTCTTCGAAAGTTCGTAATGACTATAAATAGTATTATGAATAGTATTTACGCATTAATAAGTAATAGTTCAATATTAAATTATTTTCAAATACTTTAAATTTGCTTAATTAAAAACAATCAGTATTTGTTTTTAAAGATTGACAAATGTTATTGGTGTAGCCAATATATACTAATTAAGAATAAATAAATTATGTTTTTCTATTTATGAAAACACTAAACTAATTTTTCTCATTTACTTTAAAATGACGCAAATTAACTAATTATTATTATATATTTTTATTGGAAATATGAATCACATGTTATTCAACAGTGATTTTATTTTATTTTTGAAGCATTATCCATACTTTGTTTATACTTGAAGAAATATTATTAGATATTTTTTTTAAAGGATGTTGCGACCACTTATGACCGCATTCAAAGAAGTTTTCTTATTGTAAATATATTTAAATTGTCGTTAAACATATTTTTCTCCATGGAATTCTAAACACTAAAAGTCTCGTTTGCTGAAGATGAAAAAAAATCTCAAGATTTATTTTAGAATTAAGTCTCATGTTTATATGTATTACAAATAATATAACTCATTGTTTCTCAACCTTTTGTTTACAATTTTTTTTTTGACGTTTTGTCACCATGCGCTGACAGCTGTCATTTCGCGACTTATTAACAATTAAACGCGATGTAAATATTTTTAAATGGTCGTTAAACATATTTCTTTTATACATCATCAATGGAAATCTCAAAAAATCATTTTTTTAAAAGTCTTCGTCTTATCTTTATATGCATTACAAATACTATAAACCAACATAACGATGTGGGACTATTCGAGTTATTCAATTTGGTTAATTTTTATCTGCAAATTTTGCTTATTGATTTGATGCTCGAGATCAAGTCTTCAGTAAACATTGCGTAACGATGTGATATAAAGAGATATCAAGTCTTCGCTTTCAGAATAATAACTGAAAAAAGTGTGAGCTATTTAGTTTTTGGTACAGATTTTTTGAATAATTGTGATTAGGTGATTGATAAACCAATATATACTAACGACGTGGGACTATTCGAGTTATTCAATATAAATTGATTTGATTAATATTTTATTTGTAAATATTGCGCAATAATGTGATGCAATGAGATGAAGTTTTCAGAATGATGACTGAAAACAGTGTGGGTGCGTGTTTGAGAGAACTGTGAAGATGTGTGTGTGTTTCGGTGAGGTTTCTCTTCGCGGTGTATTTCGGTTGTGCCTTTATTGTCGCCTTTAAAAATAAACATAAATTATGTAAGTAACAATAATGTGTCGGGTCGGGAGGACGGGTGTCGGGGAGAGGCCGCCGTGTGCCAAGTCTGTCAGGGCGTTGCTCCGAAATTCGAGCGGGAGCACTGGAACAAAACTATATTTAAATTAACTGTCAATGACTCCCCGATATATACACAATTTATATATATTTATGGCTTCGTACATACATACACACATGCATGAGTGTACGTACATAACGCGCCGTTTGGGTTTCGTCTCTGTGACCTACATCCGTGCAGCCGTGCACTTGGAGAGCAAAGACACCACCGGAAACCAACGGAGGAGACAGCAGTAGCAGGATTAGGACAGGACTGAACGAGGTAAACGTATCAATCGAACTGCAAATTTTAATTATTGCTGTTGGTCTCTACGTTTGGTGTACGTTTTGTACGAGAGCGCAGCATTCTGATGTAATCGGTGGCCACAAATTCCTCTGGCCGCGCGCTCTGCAGATAGAAATAGTATTCGAAACTGGATATGTAGCTTATGGAGAGGCAGCGTTGCGTGCAAAACATCGGGCGAACAACAAATGCATGTAAATCTGGATATGAAACAATGCATATAAATCTCGGGATCGTCTGCACACATGCGACAATAATTCAATCCGGTGGAAGAAACATGAAGGCGTTCCTTGAATTACAGCAGGATCGAGGTGAAATCAAAAGGATGATACAAGCTCTTGACCTTCCTGGTGTTACTCGGGAAATTGCCGAGACCGCAGGAATAAAAAAGTAATTACTTTTTCTGCTCCTCCTCATTAAGCGCGTTTCTTTATATCAGATTTCGCACTCTGTAAAAGCTTTTGCTAGATTCTTCACAAGTTGCATTGACCCCACGAAATGCGATTTTATACATGCACGACATTCCTCAGCTGAAGCTTTTTTTTTGTTGTTCTCTCATCATCCTGCAACGAAGCTCGCGAATGTTTCTAGTCTAGTTTACATGAAGCCACGATCGACTTGAAATATGCTCTAACATAAATTTGTACAGATGAACAATAGTTTGAAATAACTAAAAATTAATCTACTGCAAAAAACATTAGTAAATATTTAATTTATCAAAATGAGTTTTAACATTTATATGTTATATTTTAAACTATAAATTACATTTTTATAGTGTTTTCTTGATACACACTTACGAACTTACAAATAACTTAGGAAATGGTCAATGATGATACAAATCGAATATGCTTAAACTTCAATACTGTTATATCGCAAAATTATTCAATCAAATATTTTATTAGTTACAATTGTTTTTTAGTGAAAGCTTTAGACCATTCCAAGTTTCCAAGATTCGATTTACACTTTTATGATTTATAAATATAACAAAAAAATGCAATTATTTTGTTTGTTAAATTGTGATAATTCGTTCAGAACGTTTACTTATTTCCAAGAAAAACAGGAAATTGTGTAAATAATGTATAGTTAAGTAAATACTCTTATTAATAAACGATATACATTCATTGAATTGAGACTAACGAGTAAAATATTTCTACTTTGTCTCAAAAAATAAATAAATAAATTTGGATCTCAAGGAGTACCTCAAGGAAATGTACTTGGTCTTAACATTTAATGTTATCTTGAATGTAAGGATTTAATTAGCGTTTTTATGATTTATCTATCATAAACTATGTATCATTCTATAAGAAAAGTTTGTCTTATAAATTATCAATTCTAATGGAAAAACCTTTGAATTAACTAAGGAAAGTTAAGTGTAGAAAATCAGACTTGATTGGAAAATTTGTTTTTCAAGACTTCAATTTTAAATTCTTTTATTTTGTTTAGAGGTGTTACAGTGTTATTACAAGACTTACTAGATCTTTTTTTTATAGTAGACATTATAGAAATTAAAAACAAATACAAAAATTAAATATTTGATTTTCATTTATTTGTTATTCTATGATTAAGAAAACAAACGATTTAAATTATCGTTTGTTTTCTCTTAGAGAGTAGGCTAGGCTATTTTCGTAACTAAGTCCATCCAATAATGCTATGCTCTCATAAACCTGAACCTAAACATTTCCAACGAAAAAAAAAAGCTACGACGAGAAGAAGACAGTTGAGTAACTAAATTTAGCCTCTATTATCTAAGATCGAAGCCACCGATTTCCACGGGATTCCAACGTTTTCCGAGTGGATTTCTATTTAAGTTTGCGAAACAATTTTTTTTTAGTTCTCTTTACGAAAATACATATCGACTATAATTAATTATTGGGACCAGGTTCAAGGTTCGCTTTAGCTGCGAGAGAAGTAAAGTATAAAAACTGAGAGAGAAAAAAAAGATTATATACACACACACATTATAGGATATTCTGAACGTTCCCTCAAGCTCTATTTTTATAAGTTCTTAATTGAGAGCACGTGTCTAGAATGTCTCCACTATATATTTTTTTTTCTTGTTCTTGTTGTCTTTGCTCTCTTTTCTACTAATGCGGAGACCCAATAAATCCGTCTCGCATCGCGGTCTTATATAAATTTAGCCTGCATGGTCAATTGCGGAGATC